TCAGACGAAATAAAGGTATCCTCCGGACCAAGATATAAGTCCGGGTCATCGTACAGGGCCAGTCCATCTGCCAGGGCCGGATATGATGGATCTGGAAGTATGTGATGGATTTGCACATGTAGAATATGTACATTTGAATTGAGAAACATACCGGGAATCGCATTTAACGAATCCAGACCACCGGATGACCCAGAATCAGAGTCTAACTCATCATCCGGCCCAAGGTATATATCATCTAATGGATCTAAACCATGTAAGATCAATTCACTGAAATCAGCAAAAGCAAAACATACCAAGGGACATCCGGGACTGGGAGGTCTCATCCACATCCATTGAGGTGTATTCAGTGACCGGAGGGTCATGAAATCTGACCCCAGGTTGAGAGCTCATGATATCTGATGAGCTGATGAACTGATGAACTGATTGATAACAGATAACGTCGAAGTTCAACACATGGCCGGCGATTGCCGAAAGTTGAACCATGACCAAACAAAGACAAACAATCAACGATTTTCAACATTGTCCTTCAATTGTATTGTTTCTTTGAAACTTCATTCTAGTGATAACAGATTTCACCCTGCTTTCAACATTCTCACATCTGTCAACTCAATCCAAATGTCTACTCCAGTTCAATCTTCATTGGCCGACCTCAAGGCATCCACTGCTCAACTTGTGGGCGTCATTGCCGGCGCCCGGCACGTCCCGGCCGGCTCAGTGCACGTCCACATTGCTCTGGCAAGGCAGGTCACCAATCGGTTGGTAAGTTGCACTTATTAAATTAGTTTACCATTTATGTTTCTAATATCCGGGTAGGCTGACATCATCCGGGTGCATGAGAAAGGGGATTACATCCCTGGCATTGTGGCTTCCTGTTCTAAGGAGCTGATGAGGGTGCGTTCCATGACTCCCCAGGTGTTGCCCAACTGGCACAGCATTGGCCATGATGATCCCCGGGTGGCTAGACACGCCTGGCGCAAGCAGGTCCGTGCCTGGGAGGCGTTGGGTGACAATTCCTGTGATCTCCCTGTTGTTTCTAATCCTTCCACTGGCCCACTGACTGTCAATCTTCCGTCTCCACCTGTCCCTTCCCCCGCACCTGTCCCTTCCCCCGCCACTGTCATTCACTCCCCTCCCGTCGTCGCCGGCAATGTCGCCGGACCTTCCGGCAAGACGACCTCCGAGTTCCGGGACAAAGGGAAAGGTAAGGCCATTTCTGTTGACTTGGAGCCGGAAGTCGGAGGGAGCAACAAGAGGAAGTCCCCCATGATTTCTGGACACTCCTCCCAACCTCCGAAGTCGGCGATGAAGGGTCACAAGCGTGTCAAGTCAACTGGACTCCCCAAGTCAAAGCCGTTTGTGGAGTCGGAAGATGATGAAGACCTAATTGTTCAGGTATGTGTTCTGGCTCATTTGTGACATGCTCTCAATTTGTTGTAGCCGATTTCGCGTGGAGTGCCAGAGGTCGTCCTTTCCCAGCTCTCCACCATTGTTGTAAGGAAACCCCAGTCGCCTCGTTCACCTGGTTCCCCCAAGAAGCAATCATTTGGGCCTGCTTCGGTAAGTCTGATTTAGTCGTCCGGAACTCATATATATGCTCATGTGTCCACAGCTGACTGCCGGCAAGCGTCCGGAGGTCATGGTGAGTCTTCCGGACAGGTCCGGAACTCGCATGTATCATTCTTACTCATGCCCATCGCATTAGGAATCTCCCATCAGTCGTCCGGAGGCTCGGGTAAGTCTTACAAGCTCGCCCGGAACTCACATGTGTACTTACAATTTATCAGGCAACCTCCGGCAGTCGTCCGGAAGTTGAGGAGTCCACTGGTGATACTTCCAGCGCTTCGGACGGTGACCCTCCGGCCACTACCACATTTGATATCACCATTCCCGGCCCAGTGAGTGCTCAATTAATTCCCCTAGTACATCTACTAACGGATACCACAGAACAACCCCTGCCATTATTGCGTCAAGGAGAATTGGCCCTGTGCGACTCGTTTGGACAAGAGGTCCAGCCTCCCCTGCCTGTCTTGCATCCGCTGCTCCACCAAGAAGATCAAATGCAACCTGGCATCTCTGGGATCCCCGCCCAAACGGACCCGAGGGAAGTCTACCACGGGACGGACGTGTTCCAAGACACCTGCCCCTGCTCCATCCACTGCTCCGTCTCCCTCCAGGTCAAGGGCCCGGACTCGTAGTCAATCTCGTGGCCCGTCCCGAACTCCGGCCATCCCTGCTGCAAGTACACCCCAGGTGCAGTCACGTGGTCGCAGCAAGACCATCACTACCAAGAAGACACCTGCACCCTCACCTGCACCTGCACCTGCACCTGCACCTGCACCTGCACCTGCACCTGCACCTGCACCTGCACCTGCACCTGCGCCAACTCGTAAGTCACCCACACTTTTGATGACCGGCTGACCTTATTTTTCACTTAGCTGTTCGGTCTTCGAGTTCCGCAGTGCCTCGTGCAGCACTAGATGTTCCCATGCCGGATCTCCATTCCATGGCAATCGCTATTCGGGATGGTGCAGCTCGCATCGCTATTCTTGAGGCTCGGGTGCAGGAGCAGGATGCTAAGATTGATACCCTCCAACGCCTCCATGAGAGCCTCCGGCGCACGATGGTCGACCCGCACCCTTCATTTTCACTTCCGGACACACCGGCCGATGCAACAATCTTGCTTGATCAATCTGGTCCCCCCCCGTCCATTTCACCCCTCCCCTCCACACTTTCCAACCTCATTGATTTGGACATGTCAGTCATGGAACCCACACCCTTGATGGTTGAGGATGGATCTGCTATGGTAGGTCTCAATGTTGAGCCCACCCAAGTTCAGCCTGAGGGTCCACAATCCTCCGGCGAAATTGTGCTCCCGGATGAACCAGGCAACCTCTTGCCAGAATCCTCCGGCGATATTGTGGTCCCTAATGAACAAGGTAACCTCCTGCCAGAATATGATTCCTCTGATGAGGATATGGATGTTGAGGGGAAGGTTGATCTTCCTGGTGAGGAGGTTGCAATGGCTACATAATTGCTCAGTGATAGATGTACATAAATCTTTTTCAATGCATGTTACCTATGCCACAATTGAATGATTCAATAATCAGTCCCGATATCCAGAACTCGAAACTGTAGATTGAGGTAGATATCACCCTACACCCTAACACCCGAATGTCAAATTTTCAGTGCCGAACACCGAGTGCCGGGTGCCGGGTGCCGAGTCCCAAAGCCCGGAACTCAGGATTTGACATTTGAGATGAACGACATTTTTCAAACATGTTTCTATCAACCTCCGTATATCTATAAACATTTTACTAACCTCCAACCCCCGAAATATATTTTTGTTGTCTCATACCGAGTTCCGAGTTCCGGGACCCCTGAACCCCGAAACCCGAAACCCGGCAGTCCACAATTTCGGGGTTCGGGAGTTGGGTCCCGGAACTAGGAACTCGGTATGTGAGACAAGCAAAATATATTTCAAACACGGGTAAGTCAATGTGTCCGTCAATCAACTCGATTGTAAAGTATATTTTATTGATCTCCCCAAATTTCCCAAGTTCCGAGTTCCGAGTTCCGGGACCCCCGAACCCCAAAACCCAAAACCCGGCAGTCCACAATTTCGGGGTTCGGGTGATTGACGGACACATTGACTTACCCGTGTTTGAAATATATTTTGCTTGTCTCACATACCGAGTTCCTAGTTCCGGGACCCAACTCCCGAACCTCGAAATTGTGGACTGCCGGGTTTCGGGTTTCGGGGTTCGGGGGTCCCGGAACTCGGAACTCGGAACTTGGGAAATTTGGGGAGATCAATAAAATATACTTTACAATCGAGTTGATTGACGGACACATTGACTTACCCGTGTATGAAATATATTTTTGTCTCACATACCGAGTTCCGAGTTCTGAGTTCCGGGACCCCCGAACCCTGAAACCCGACACCCGGCAGTCCACAATTTCGGGTTTCGGGGGTTGGTAAATCTCGGTTTGGGGTTTTGCACTGAAAAGTTGACATTTATACGTATCCAGGCTCACCCATATATGTACCCATCTATGTACAATTCCCCCACGTCAGCCCACCCATCTATGTATTATCCCCCACGTCGGCCCACCCGTCTATGTAATACATCCTATGTTGGCCCACCCGTCTATATAATACATACTACGTCGGCCCACCCGTCTATATAATTATACCCCACCTCGGCCCACCTGTCTATGTAATAAATATTTTATCACACCCTCGGCCCACCCGTCTATGTAATACATCCTATGTTGGCCCACCCGTCTATATAATACATACTACGTCGGCCCACCCGTCTATATAATACATACTACGTCGGCCCACCCGTCTATATAATTATACCCCACCTTGGCCCACCTGTCTATGTAATAAATATTTTATCACACCCTCGGCCCACCCGTCTATTTGATATCCCTTTCGTCGGCCCACCCGTATATGTAATACTTTTTATGTCGGCCCACCTGTATATGTAATACACCCCACGTCAGCCCACCCATCTATGTAATATTCCCCTACCTCGGCCCACCCATATATGTAATACACCCCCGTCGGCCCACCCGTCTATATAACAATATTTGCCTTACATCTCTCTTCAGCCCAGCTGTCTATAATATCCTACTCTACATATTACCCTGATGGGCCCACCCATCTCCATGAATGATCATATTCCCCCGGCCCATCCGTCAACATCAAGGATATATATATCATTGGCATACATGGGCCCACCCATCTCCATCGGAAATAATATGTGTCCCGGCCCATCCGTCATCATCGAGAATATACACAACATGGGCCCATAATCCGCTGGCCCGTATAATACGGAATTTGTCACTGAAGGGGCTCGCCGCTTCGGTCGCTTAACGAAGACCATCCTGGAGCCGCCAACGACGTCTTCATCAGCAGTAACTTCATCCACGACCTCTACTTCGTACTCACCCACATCTGGCGCAGTATCAATAGTCGTGACCAGCACAGTTGGTCACGCAACAGGCGGAATCTTGAGCTTAGGCGCAGCCAGCGCGCGTTCCTTGGTCTTTGAGGTGACTAATCAAACATAGGTTAGAAATCCGAACCGCAAAAGAAAAGAAAGGAGTACCTACCAAATGAGCAACCTTTCCTGGTCTTCATGCAAGGGTTGCACCTTGCATTAGAATCCATAACGACACATTTGGCGCTGGACGTGGCACAATGCACGCACTCTTCAGCCAGCTTTAAAGCCGAGTCAATGGTCATGCGACCACCAAGACGCTAGGAGACGTGTTAGCACAAAAACAGGCAAGGGGAAAAAGTAAGGACTTACTGGTCGCCCCATATCAGTCACTACAGCCGCCTCCGCCTTCTCCGTCACTTTTTCCTTCGCCTCTACAGTCACAGCGACTTCCTTCGCCTTCCCCTTCTCAGCGCGCGCAGGACACGCAGTCACGGCAGTCTTCTCTGCCTTTTCCTTCCAGGATCGCACAGCCTTAGTAAGCATCCTTGCGGTAGTCTTACCTTTGGCCAATGTTACCGCATCCAAATCATTTAAGGACACATGCAGCGCGATGGCACGCGCCCGCTCATATATGGCGGTCATATCTGCCTGCAATAAACGATTAGTAAACAGTAAGCGCGACAGAAAAGCAAGTCGACTTACCATTGCGACATTCCAGTCACAGAGCCACGACTCTTGCTCCTCCAAGAGCTCAGGCTTGGGGGGAGGCGACGTCTTGACGCACACATGCATCGTATTCAAAACTGTACCCCATGCTCGCTCAACGTGGTCCGCGTCAGATTCCTGTGGCTCCTTCGGAGCCGTGTCGTCGAGAGTGGCGCCATCAACAGACACGTCGCCACCGTCTTGCAGGTGCTCCTCAGGTTTGGGAGAGGGAGAGGGAGACGCAGTAAGCATGGTGTTACAACAACGATACATGAGTCCCCTTGCCACCCTGCCCTCTGCCACCTGCACGGCTACAGACGATACCCGGGCCTCTTCTGCCCTTGGGATAGAACACAGGATAGAACACCGGACCGATATAGAAGAGAACTCCGGAAGATGCCGGATTAGATAAGCGGTCTGGACCGCTATGACGACATAGGTCTAGAAGACCTATTCATGTTATCTAGATAGAAGGCAAGCCTCGTGTTGCCTCGTGTACTGATAGAAGCCTGCCTCATGGACGCTATCTCTGACTCGATAGATAAGCAGATTAGAACCCAGCTTCAAGCTGAGCTTAGACACGATAGAGTAGCCTTATATAAGGTCGACGATTAAAGTAGATGTTCCTTACTTTAATCTTACTTGGTTTTCTCTTGAACTTCCTTGTCCTGCATAAAGCTACCTTGCTTGACATCGACCGTACCTTTGGGAGCTTGTCCTCGACATCGAACCTTCCATCTGTAACCGCTATCATCGCCCCACAAGGCGTACGCAACTTCTGCTCTTCTGTGGAAGCCGACAGAACTCAGCATCCTGAAAGCCGTCTTCTCGGCCTTTGCTGTTTAGCCCATCCAAGTACGAACACGACCTAGTGTCGTAACACATGGTAGGGTTAAAGATGACAGAAGACATTGTGGTATAGATGCAAGAAGATTATCACGAGTGGCGATGGTATATTGAATTGAAGAAGAGAAGCGCGACATGAGGCCGGCTTTTAAAGCCGAGATGAACCACATTATGTCAGCACAATGGCGCCGCTCCCCACAGCTCACATATCCACAGTGGACCGCTCCACATCCAATTTGGTGTGTTTCACCCACGATCACATGACTTCCTCCGTCGAAATCTCGATAAGTCCATACACCCCTATATACGCTGACTGGGGACAGTCAGAAGCTAAGTTCCTATGAGATGTAGAGACTGATATCTCTGTGGGCTTGCAGGTATCTAAATTTCCATCGTCCAAATCACTTCCTAATACAGCACGACTCATATCTCACCTTGTGCACTTGAGCGCTTTGTTGGCCACTCACGCGCACCCTTGGTTCTGTCGCTTGTCCTCTGTCCATCCATTCCATGTCCATTCGGTTCATTGGTGCGTATTCCCATCTTATTTCCATTTATTCTGACATAACTCCGGCGCTTATGGCCATATTTCGTATGTTTTCCGTCATGGACCCTTACATTACATATTATCTCGTATCCGCTTCACTTCTCGGTTCGCTTTAGTGCTTGACAGCGCTTAACATTACTTAGTATATATACTCGCGCCTAAACTGTATTATGAGCATCTTTCTGCCCGCACATCGTTGGACTCTAAGTCTAAGTTCTCCCTCATATCTCTTAAGTATCTAAGTAACAAATACGAGCGCCGCCGCCGCACATTACTAGAAACTCTGCCTATTAGTTTTCTGACTCATTAAAAAGTCGCCATGCTCCACCACCCGCATGCGTGCACCGCTTCCGCTCAGCGCGCGCTTCCGTTATAAGTCGCGCGTCGTCGCTCATTGTTGCCCACTGTCGCTCCTCGTCGCGCGCCTTATCAGGCTTGACCAAGTGCCCGGTCCAGTGGTTCCCTCCACATATACACTTAGAGGAACCTTCTCAGTAGCAATCCCCTTGGGTCGACACATATCTCGCTCATCAAGGACTACTTGAGTTTCTCTCATATCACTATATAACCCCACTACCAATTCCTCACCTACATCGGCCATCTAGTATCTATACCATTCAAGTACATGGCTGGCCTGTGCATATATATAAACATTAGGATTATTATAATTAAAGTAGTAGTAGCTAGCCTTATATGCCTACATATTATATATGTAGATTTGTGGCTGGCCAGACATGATTTTCTGAATTGCATACTGACCTGCTAACACCTACCAGATGTAGGATCATGACTAGCTGGCCATTGGTGAGTAGTGTGATAATGCAAAATATGGATCAGCCTGCTAAGCTTTGGACTCTGACCAGCCAGGTGAAGTCTACATTCTATAGAGCAATGTCGGCTGGCCTATCAAGCTTTAGATTCTGACTGGCTGAGTGGAGCCTACATCCTATAGAGCAATATTGGCCAGCATTACTTCCCTGGCTAGCATAAGCTAGCAGAATGTAAAATTGATTATACTACAACATATGATCCTTGAACTTGTCCTCTGCATCCTCTGCAAACATTTGCCACAACAGCACCTGTATGTGGCCATAGGCTTGATGACCAGACTTCATAGCCTCCATGGACCGTTGAATTCATTGGTCCTTTTGACAATGAAACCAACTTATGGTCCACCGCATTTTATGTCTTGTTAATGTCAGCTCTTCTTCCCACCTCCTCCACCTTGCCTTTGCTTTTAGCTAGTTAACCCTATAGACTGGCACCATACTATTGGTTTCATTTTTTGAATAGACAGTAGTACTTACAGTGACTCAAAAAGGTAATGCACAGCACATGCAAATTATGTAATCTTCACCGCTCTCGTCCTCCTGCAGAGATAGCGTTGAGAAAGTATGCTCTACAGAGAGCCCTAGGTATGTAGTTACTAGTTGTATGAAGAAAATTGTATGTACTGCAAAATATAAAATGTAAATGAGTGATTAAAATGAAGAGTACCGTGCAATTCTTTTTTGGGTGTAGTAGGTCTAGGAAAAGAATGAATGTAGTGAGCGCAAATCGAAAGTTAATGCCACAAAACTTTCTAATACTTAGTATGTCCCCCTTTAGCATCAAGAAGAGCCTTAATACGCTCTGGCATACTCTCATATAACTTTGTGATGTACTTCTCCTCAACACGACCCCATTCCTCCACCAAAGCCTCCCATAACTCAGTGCAGTTCCGTGGCAGCGGCGTGCGAGTGCGGACACGACGATCCAAATAGTCCCAAACGTGCTCAATAATGCTCATATCCGGACTATTTGGGGGCCAGTCCAGTGTATCAACCTTCTTTTTCCGGAACCATTCCTGTGCCAGTTTCGAAGTGTGCTTCGGATCGTTGTCTTGCTGAAAATAAATGTTCGTTTTGTTGATTTCGAGGTCACTAAGGGTCCCAAGGAATTTGTCCGTAAGAATCTCGACATATAAGGCAGCATCCATGTTGCCATCAATGCGGGAAATTCGGCCTAAACCTTCAGCAGTGATGCACCCCCAAACCATGACTCGTCCACCACCGTGTTTCACCACCTTTTTTGTAAACCGTTGATCAAATTCATCCTCTGGCCTCCTCCAACACCATGAACGACCATCCGATCCAAAAAGATTAAATTTAGACTCGTCCGAGAAGATAACAGCCTTCCAGTTATCTGCTGACCAATCAGCATGGGCTTTGGCCCACTCTAACCGCCTCGTCTTGTGAGCTTCTGTCAAAAGGGGTTTCGTACGGCGAATGTAAGCATTTAAGCCACATGTTTTGAGTCTTGTCCGGATTGTTTGGGGATTGATCTCGGGGAAATATTCCTTTTGTAAATCAGCAACATCATGTGCCTCAGTGCGTGCCAATGCACGGACTGCCACACGAACGTCATGGGGTGTGAACTTGCAAGGTCGGCCTGGTTTTGCCTTGATATCATAGTAGTCTTCAGTTTGAGCATACTGCTTGACAATATGGAGCACAGTAGTGCGATGTAGGCCAAACTTTTCGGCAATTTCTGCCTCATGTAGACCTGCTGCTTTGTCACGACAAATTCGAGCCTTTGTTGTAGGAGTGGAATATCCTGGCATGGATGTATAGTATGCAGGAGGTCTTTCAATAGATATATGAGTGTTGCGGAGGTGTTTGTGGTCAAGAAAACTGCAGTGGGGGCACTCTTTCGTAATGCATGCCGTGTCAAAATATAAAATGCACAGCATTGTCCCTACAAAAGTCCGTGTAGTCAATTCAAATATTCATATTATCTTAAAAAATGACATCTCGCCAATAGCCAAGACATGAATCATTATATTGAAATACTTAGAACAGTGATTAATGTAATGTTGCTGAAGTACGAGGACGAAAGGTAGTAATTCATGTTTTGTGCATTACCTTTTTGAGTCACTGTACATTCATCCATCCAAGCATGTTGTTGACTCTTATGAGCACCATCAATCCTTCAAAACCATGCCAGCTTGTCAGACTCTTGTCTAAATCTATTCTCTTCAGTAACATCCATATTGACAGTAAGTTGTTCTGGCAATATTTCTTGATAAATATTTTCCAGATCTTATTGATCCATGCCAAGCATTTCCATAGCAGATCTTGCCCTTTGATAGCTTCTGACTAACTTCTCGATTTTGAGGCTGCACCTTTGAGTATCCTGCTTTGACCTTGTACCAGTCCAAACAGAATCAGCACTTCGAAAGTATTGATGATAGATGACAGCCTTCTGGCCAAGAGCCAATTGAATCTTTTTCAAGCAATTGTTAGCTTGACCTTTTCTCAAGGCTAATTCTTCTTCTTGCAGTTTGGCTAGACCAAGTATATTAGCATGGTCATGAGTCACTGATGAAGGCATCCAGATGACCATATCTTCTGCTGGAATTTCTTCATCAATCAATTCTGAATTGTCTTCATCTGAAACCTCCCAAGCTTGTTCATCAGCTTCTGCCATGCAAAATCGAGAGTCATCAACATAGACTGTACCCCAATCCAATTCTATTCCCTCTATCATTTGATCTGTGATCTCATGAAATTTGGTAATTCAAGCAGCTAGTTTCAGCCATTTCTCTTGAAGAGCAGCCTTCTGAGTAGCAGTGGCATCATATGGGAGCCAATGAACATCTGACTGTAATCCATCTCTGATATGAGTTGTGATCATTTAAATTTGGTTTACCAAATATAAAAACAATGTACTGGGAGTCTTCTAGATTAATACCTTGAAGGATCCAAGGAACAGATCCAGGCCTTTCTATATCCGAAGTCTCTGATTCTGTTAATGTTAATTGAATCTCAGCTATTGTAGGGGCTTAAGAATTACACAGATTTGGATTAGTCATATGTTTTGATAAAAAAACAAGGGGATTTACCTTTGTCAATCTTTAATTGATAAATGTTAAGATGTTCTCCCTGAACTTCCATTGCCATCTTCTCATTCTTTTCCCATATAGCAATTTTTTCAGGGTCCAAAGAATGTGTAAGCTTATCAAAAGAGAGCTTGGTATTACTAATACCCTTGACAGCATGTTTATGCTTTTTAAGAGAGTCTTAACTGACAGAAATATTTAATTATGTATCCATGATATCAAAAGGGTTGCTCACTAATTCCAATCATTTTTTTCCAGTTTAAGTCCCTCATGTGATCATCTAATATTTCTTGTCGATGATATTGACTCATTGACCACGCAGTAGGTGATATTTTGTTGAAAGGTGCCCAAAGAGTCTCCATAATTTCTCCATCCACTTGTCCTGCTCCTTCAATGAAGTTAAGACTAAATCTTGCAAAGCAGAGAAGTTTGTGTGTGCTGAGATGAAATTTACCAACACCTGTCAGAACCTGCCTTTTTTCAGGGAGTGATAATCCTAGGGAGTTGTTGATATGGTGTGCGAAATTTATACACTACTGACACCATATATCATAGATGATCAAGGAGGTTTTGATATTGTTGGAATAATAATTTATAGCATTGCAGATTGAGTAGTCAACATTCATATGACTAGCAATGTGCATGAACTTAGGAATATACTTGTTAAACAAAAGATAGAATTTACCATTCACCCTTCTGAAAATCCACCACAGTGTAAGGAACAAAGCATCCATGACATGCACAAGCAGTTGCAGCCACTCCAGTTGCTCGAAGATTACTTCAATTTGTGTTAGCTGCATTAACAGCACAATGATTGCTGCAAGAGGACCGCTGGTATATTTATCTAGTCAAAAGGTGCAGACAAATTTAAACCCCAACTTGAACATAACTCCTTGGTCTCCTTGGCTGATGATAAATGAGCCTGGTAATCAGCATCTGTTACCATATACCCTAGGCCATCCGATAGAGTGACATCAAGGTGTGGTTGTTTCATATTTCATGTGTTGAGCAGTGAAGTTGCCATCCACTACATATCTCTGCATAACTAGCCAGCTGTTTAAAAAAATGTCAATGATACTGCATAAATATTGAGATATGATTGACCAGCCGGTGTAGAGACTCGTGCCTCTCATTGGGTGATATGGCAGTTTTCACTAGGGAGTACATGGCACGAACTTGTAACATCACTCTGCATGCTATCCGCAGCTATTCCTATATGAGGCGCAGCTTTCCCGCGCAACATGCAACATGCGCGCACACTTCCCACGCTTCATGATGTATATGCGCACGCGCTTTCCTGTGCTTGAGCGCCCTATAGCACCAGCCATCCGGAAGCATCCATCCACTGTCTACCAAGCTCTCTAGTGCATATATTTCCATTTCTCTTATTTGCATATCATTCCACCTTTATTTTTATCATGGACCCTTACTTACATATATCTTTACATGCCTTACTCGCTAGCACTTCAGCTCCGCATGACAGCACTTAGGCGCCATACATAAGTGCCAGTAGTACATACCAGAAGGTAGTTTAGCAACCCCCATGTTCATACCACACAACTGAGCTTAGTTGGAATCACTCCCTAGAAAGAAGCACTCACATTCCATATCTCTATATACGCGCACGTACTTTCCCGCGCCTTCGTGCCTCGCGCGCGCCTGCGCTTTCCCGTGCTTCGCATCAGCCAACCAGTAGCACCTTCAGCGCCTACTTCTAGATCCTTGCTGCACTTGCTTCCCCTTTAGGGTCGAACGCACTTGTCGTGTCAAGTATAGCAGACTAGGCAACACACGACCTTACAACATTTGGGCAACGACACCACTGTACATTGTGGATAAATACTCCTGTGGAATGTATAATGGTCAAGGCAGTGGTTGTTGAAGTTGGTTGAGTGAATGTCTTAACTCCAGCATTATTCTCATTCTAGTCTATCCTCATCGACATCTTCCCAATCCTGCATGGTTTCTTGAGACCATAGACATGACTGACCTCCATGACCCATATACCAGATATACCCAAGCTCTGAGAGTGATGTGTCCTGGAAGCACTTTCCATTCCATTCCATTGCTGTAGCTTATGAAATGGTAATGATTGGTGAGCTTTGAGAACACATGTGTGGCACCATCCATGTTCACCACTGCAAGTCAAGCAATGGAAGAATCCTTCTGTGCTTTGGCAAGACTCGCAGGTTCCTTCATTGATGATATTTTTGGACTCTAGGATGATGTCCAAGTATAGTTGGTGGAAGATAAGATAATTTTCAATGAAGTTATTCTGAGTCTTTGTTTCGACCTAGTGAGTAGTGTTGTTTCTCTCGTGTTGGATGAACCTACCTTTGTTTGTCGTCTCACAATTTATGAACTAAAATCTCCCTCAAGCTCTCTGTCCAAGTCTTCTGGAATCCCTTCCAGTTCTTGAAGATCAAATCTTGTTCTTTTATATGGACTACAGGATGCTGATGTCTCTTATTGTGAAATCTCATAAGAGCTATCAGCACAGGCCTTAAGCCAGATGGGCTTCCTCTTTTTTCCTTCTTTTTTTTGTGAGTGACATATACAACATCCAGGTCCTTTCTTTGGGATAGTCGACCTCTTTCTTTGTAGGAGAAAGACCTAGACTTCTGAGATGACATGAGCGGCAGAAAAATTGTGAAAAATTGTCAAAGTTCACTAAGTAGATAATCAATATATCACTAGCCTAACTGGCCAAAGGGACCACTAAAATTGTGACTAATTTGACCTTAATCTTTTATTTCCCCCCTTGATCCGCTGGCCTATTCCTTTCAAATTATTCTCTCTCACAACTTTGTGCCTCAATCTTTTTTTTGCTTGCTTGACCCTCTGATTGGTTCACAATAAGTGCAAAAATTCTGTCTGAAGCGGAAATGCAGGCCCGGGAACCCCTACCCTATCTTGTACCTTATTCTTCATGAAATGTGCAATGAATAATGTTCACCTTTGTTCCAGTGACAGACTGAGTGCTGCAGAACCTTCATATCAAGATAAGCTACCATTGTAAGTGAAGAAATAATAAACTCTCACCCTCCTAGCAATATATGACATTGTTCTAGGGGAATAAACCAATTTGGCTTCCAGGTCTTCGATAGATAATATGGCATCATGTTCAATACCCAAACTAACCAGCATGTCATAGTAGGATGGAGCCTCACTAGGGTCCTAATGACTCAAAGTCACCCAGTTTGAAATGACTTCCAATATAGAAAAAATGGACGGCTACTGAGAAACTGAAACTGACTTTTGAGACTACCAAGTTTGACTTAACACCTTTGAGATTGAGTCACAGCCTACCTGAAATAGCTTGGGTGCTATGGTTGTGGTTATGGCATTCCAGAAATATTTCGAGGTTAACATGACAGCTAGCCAATTTTGGACTGAGTCAGAGGAGTATGACACTGATGCCACCAATGGATCTATAAGCCTCTGATTCATTAATTACCATCAGATTCTCAATAAACCCTCAAATGTAAATTAAGTTTTATCTCACGTTGTTGCATGAAATAAGCAGGAGACATAGTGACTCATTCTGCCCCAAATATCCCTCCTCCCTCTGGTACAAGGAAGCTATGTGAACGCCAGGATGGTTTTCAGTCAGTATCTGATCCGCTGGGAATTGTTCCAAGGAGAATATCTCGAAGGCCTAAGGTAGCATTATTAATGAAATTCTGATAAATTAATTAATTAGCTCCCATGACCTATATCTT